ATATCAGACGACACAGCGATTCTCCAAACAGCTCTTGCTTATTCACAGGTTAGAACAGAACTGAACTCAAGGGTTCAGCCAGCCTGCTTATATAGAGCTCCAGTACAACGTAACTGTAACAACTTTCTGTAACTATCCAATCACTGAACGTCACTTTCGATCCCTTATTTGCATATGTGGACCTGAACTATCTACAGTATCCCCCTGCTGGCCCAGGGTGAGAACTTCAGTACATAACAATAATCTCAAATTATTCTGGGCTCCAATTCTCATCATCCCTGTACATTGGCTGCACTGATGAGAATTGCAGTCTGCAATACATGGAGAATACCTATGGTTACAGGCAGGGATCCTTCCAGGACTGGATTAAGATCTTCACAGGCCCTAAGCAGTTAAAAGAATTTGGTATCCCCATATAGATCTGTTTCAAAACATAAACAAAATAAACTGTAATTTTTTATTTTTCGAAACACAACCTACAGCAAGATGGAAAATAATGTTTATTTTTGGTATCCACTAATGCCAGTTTATTCCTTTTCCAGTTGTTTGACCAAAAGGCTGCTGTTTCATTCTGAGTTGTCATTTTATTTAAATTTTGTTTGCTTCCCCTACACCACCTTGTTGTTGTTATTCAAGGAACATAGAAATACGTCGCTAAATCAAATCAACAGAGTGGGTTGTGCTAGGCTATGTGGACTAATGCTCTCTGATACCAAATGAAGCACCTTCAATATCCTTACATACGGAGTGACCTCATACGGCATCAGACTCCAACTCCCAGCATCTCTCACTATTGGCCATGCTGGCTGGGGCTGATGGGAGTTGTAGTCCAAAAGTGCCTGGTGAGTCATTAAGGCATTGGGCAGAATATAGGGGCAGGTTGAAGGCAAATGAATTAAGGTCATGTTGAAACAAAGGCAGCTTATATTCTGCACAGCAGCCACAGGGCCCTTGAGAGAAATGCCACAGTCACAATTAACTTGCTCCATTGTGATGGGAATTCTCACTGTAACTGTGTCAGGGCCTTCCAGCGCAGGTAGTTTTTCTTCCTCTCTTTTATTGAAATAAACTTACCCCACCTTTCTGCAACAAAGGAATGCAAGGCAGCTGGTGGCATCCCGTAAAAGCAGCAGAAAGCAGCAAAATACAACATAATAACATTATAATTCAGTGCTTCTCCATGCACACAACCTTTCAGTCCTGCATATAGAAAATTAGATTCCTTTCTTAAGGGCTCACATATAGAAGACTCACATATAGAAGACTCAAGGTAGGATGCAACTAACACATCCATTCCATGTTGCACAACGGTATTTCCCCCACCCTTCCTCCTCCTCCTCCTCTCCTCTCCCCCTCCTCTCCCCCAGCCTTCCAGAGCAGATTTGGCGATGGTAGGGGAGGCATGCGAGGGGAGAAGAGGGAAAGTCCCATTGCACAAGTGTAAATCCTTGCACGGATGTTGCTTGCAGACTATCTTCCTACATGCTTTTCTGATTTTGGAGTTTGGGATGGAAATGGAAATTGGAATGAACTGTTGCAGAGATGGGTCTCTTTTGTTTTGTACTGGAATAATAACTTTAAGTGCTCTCAATTAGAGGAACATCTGCTGTTCGATTCTGCTCCGTTGATTTGTTTCGGCCATTGGCGATAACAGGACATACGTTTTCTGCTTGGTAGTTTCCTGTTTATTTGTTTTATCCTCATCATCAGCAACAACAGCATTACATGCATCATCTACACTTAGATGTCAGGGATAAGGGTTCGTTCCAATCCTTCCAATCCTTCCTCAATATACACATTTTTTCTCTCTGAAGACTTTGGCACAACCCTTCCAATTCCAGCGTTCTACTATAACTAAGTGCAAAAGAAGACACCATTTTTCTAGGAAAAGAGGTGCCAGAACTCACCATAAGCCAATGTGGTGTAGTGGTTAAGAGCGGTAGACTCGTAATCTGGTGAACCGGGTTCGATTCCCCGCTCCTCCACATGCAGCTGCTGGGTGACCTTGGGCCAGTCACACTTCTCTGAAGTCTCTCAGCCCCACTCACCTTGCAGAGTGTTTGTTGTGGGGGAGGAAGGGAAAGGAGAATGTTAGCTGCTTTGAGACTCCTTAGGGTAGTGATAAAGCGGGATATCAAATCCAAACTACTACTACTACTACTACTACTACTACTCCTCTTCTTCTTCTTCTTCTTCTTCTTCTTCTTCTTCTTCTTCTTCTCCTTCTCCTTCTTCTTCTTCTTCATAAACTTCTCCCTTGTTCTCTTATAATGGCAATGGCACCTACCTGAGAGGTGCTGGAACTGAGTTGGGCAGCATGCAACAGTACAGAACTGTGTAAATTAGGGGATTTTTTTTAAAAAAACAAAAACATAATTCCAAACTGATGTGGAAATGTGCAGAATTTAACTTAAGACTGGGAAAGTGAGCAACTGAACTTACCAGGTTCATCCATCCCTAGAGACAGGGGGACTAGAAAAGTATTACACTAAAAGGGAAATTATAAAATTATCCCTATCTGAACTCGCTGCATGTAGAGTGCTGACCAGCACTAGGTTATATCCTTCCAATTAAGGATAGCTTCCATAATTGTTATTATTTGTTGATGGTTTTTTAATGTTGGAGGATGTGCATGGGAATCTAAGGATTACCTTGTTAAGTTGTTTTTTCTGAGTAAAGCTCCTTTCGTCTCGGTTCTAAGGAAGCCAACTAAGATTAGTTCACATCTTTCAGTTTAATGAAAGTAAACCAATAGAAAGCCCTTCAATAAGCTGTTTGCTCCAGGTTGGAGGAAGCAAAAAGAGAGCGAGAGCCCTCACATCTCCATTCTCTTGAGCCTTGGATTACATTTTACAGTAAACCTTTCCTCCGCTGGACATTGTGCAACACTTCTGCGTCACAGATGTGAAAACTTACAGAGCCAAAAACTGTTCTGTTCTGTCAAAACCAAAGTTATATCACAAAGGCCTCCTTTCCCTCCCCCATTCAGTTAAGAGATTTGGGCAGCTCAATTCTGTACAAGTCAACTCAGAAACAAATGCCAGTGTTCAGCTGGGTTTTAAAAGCAGATCTTTGCCAGATCAGACTAAAAGTCCATCTGCAACAGTAGCCAACCCAATGCTCTGGAAACTTGCAGATAGGGCACAAAAGCAGCAGCCCCACACTCTTTCCCTGGGTCTACAGCTGCTCTTTGTCCACTGGTAGCTACCAACCTTGCCTCAAAAAACAAGGCTACTTGGAGTCATGCCTCCCCAGCTGATCTCAGTAGCCAAGCAGAAACATATGGGATCCATCCACCACTGAAAGGCCTATTCCCTTGCTGCCACTCATTGAACCTCAGAAGACACTTGAAGAAGGACCTCAGAAGATGTCCTTAATATCTGGACAGGTTCATGGGGCAGTAGGTGCTCCTTTGGATCAGGGATGGGAAATCTGTGGCTGGCAGATGTCGTTGGGCTCCAACTCCCATCAGCCCCAGCCAGCATAGCCAAAGGTATAGGAGCTGCAGTCAGACAACATCTGGAGGACCACAGATTCTCCACCCCCACTTTGCATGCCCAGGTTCCAAACTGTAAATGTTTTTTCATATATGTAATCAGTCCCTGCTCTTTCTTCTCCACCTCCTTATTACTGTTTACTCACCCTCCACTCTAAGGTTCCAGACAGTGCTTTTTTTAAGGAAAATAGGTGCCACTACTCACCATGAAGTTATTACAGTAAGCGCAACACTTTTTAACAACAACAAAAGAGGTGCTGGTACAGTCAAGCCTTGTTTCCCGAACAGCTTAGTTGCTGAACAAATCGGCTCCTAAACACTTCAAACTCGGAAGTAAGGGTTCTGGTTTGCAAACATTTTTCGGAAGCTGAAAGTCCAACACGGCTTCCGCTTGAGTGCAGAAAATTCCTGCACCCAATCAGAAGCTGTGCCTTGGTTTTCGAACATTTCCGGGAGTCGAATGGACTCCCAGAACGGATTAAGTTCAAGAACCAAGGTACCACTGTACTGCGTACCCTTGAGTAGCCCCTGAAAAAAATGTACTGGTCCCAGGGCGAGTTACAACAATTAAAACACAGTGTTAAAAACAATTTAAAACAGCTTGCAATCACATAAGTTAGGTCCTACAAATACTTATCGCAGGTGTCAAAAGCCAGAGTAGCAGGCGGGAAGTGGCCTCCAGCTGACAAAACTAAGAAACAGTTGAACATTTAAAACAGAACTAGTATTTTCATTTTGTTTTTATTCTCCTTTTAGGCTGCTATTGCATTGCAAATAACCAATGTACAGGCAAGTGAAAATGGTAAACAGGCCAATAAAAATGTGGACTAGTACGCTGCTTGTCGTTATTTGCCAGGTTGCTTTAATTTGTCATTTAAACTGGACCTGACGCAGAGGCTGCCTGGAACCTGGCGGAAAATGTAATCTTTGGCTGCTCCTTTTGTGATTAAGCTGGCAAAGCCCGTTGCAATTAGCATTAAGGCTCAAACTGGCAGTCCCCAGAGGAGCCGCAAGCCGGGGAGATCAGAATCTCACAACATCCTCGGCAAATAGTATTGATGGAAGCGTAACAGCTGGACCCGCTAAGTGGCCTTTTCTTACTGTAAAGTACCTAAATAAAAAACTTAAGAAGGAGAAGAAAGTATTACTCAGCAGCTAATCAGCACGATCTGTAATTAAATGTGCCAGCCTGTAATCAAGTGGGATTACCGGGAGCTTGGCGGACCAGCCCGATCCTATTATCAACCCAACGCACAGTCCAAGTTGCATCGGCACCAGCAATAGGAACTGTCAGTTCCTTTCTTCATAGCAACATGCTCAGAGCTCCGGCAGTTGACTTTGCTTTGGCAGCAGCCCGCAGAAAAAGGCACGTGGCCAAAGTCATGCCATCTTTCCCGACAGCCGTCCTGTTCTCTGAAGGAGACACATACCAATGGCTCAGCGGCTAACCCAAATTCATCCTGACTTACATTTTCTTTCTCCCCTCTCCTTTTTGTTTTTGCAGATGGAAAATGCCTCCAGTTCCTCAGCATTCCTGTCAACCTTATCTGAAGGAGAAGACCTGGTCTTTGGATCCCTCTACACTCTCTTTGGTAAGAGTAGGGATGGGGAGAGACATAGCTTTGTGCGAAAACCTGCAAGCTACCAGCAGATCTAGCATGGGGATGTGGCGGGGACCTTGGAGTTTGCTTGAACCAGCGTTATTTTATTGCTTGGAAGTGCTTTGCTGTTTGGCTCTAGTCACGAGATTCCACTACAGCTTCATGTGTCAGGGAAATGCTACCTGAGGCAGGAATCCAAAACTGGAAGCCTCTTGTTAATTAAAATCCTGGCGCTGGATATAGGTATTATTTTTCATTCAAAGCAAGGAAGGGGAAGCTGCGTCCCTGCTGCTGGACTCTGACTGCCCATCAACCCCACTGAAATTACAGGAATTTTACCAAGGCCCTTGTCTTAATGTACAAATCGCTGAACAACTTGGGGCCAGGATACTTTAAGGGACCACCTGAGTCCTGATCACAGAGGCCACCCAGAGGAGTGCTATAAGTTGCACCTCACATTACAGGGGTCCAGCTGTTCGAGATCTGAATTCTGCTGCTGCTGCTGCTGCTGCTGCTGCTAACACTTTTAAAAACGTACAAGAGATCCTGTTCACAGATTTCCTTCAGGACAACTAGTTTGGCCCAAATGGAAGAAATGAAAGACTAAGGCTGCATACACACCATACATTTAAAGCACATTCCACCACCACCCACAACAAATTATGGGAACCATAGTTCACCCCTCATTGAGGTACAATTCCCAGCACCCTTAAAAAAACTACAATTCCTAGGATTCTTTGGGGGGGGGTGCTTTAAATGTATTGGGTCTATGCAGCCATTGACTGTCTCTCTTATCCCAGGGCTTGAGATGCAGCCCCACCTCCTACTCCTTGACTGGAGCCCTATTGGGTGTTCCTTAGATTTCAAGGTAGTATTGTCTACTGTACTAAATCAGCTCACCTGGCTCATTTCCCAGACTGGGAGTGGCCACCAATACCATATAACACTGGTCCTGAAAAACCTACATTGGCTCCAAGTACGTTTCCAAGCACAATTCAAAGTGTGGGTGCTGACCTTTAAATCCCTAAAGTGCCTCAGCCCAGTATACCTGAAGGAGCGTCTCCGCCCCTATTGTTCAGCCCAGACACCGAGGTCCAGTTCCGAGGGCCTTCTGGCAGTTCCTTCACTGTGAGAAGTGAGGCTACAGGGAACTAGGCAGAGGGCCTTATCGGTAGCGGCACCCGCCCTGTGGAACGCCCTCCCACCAGATGTCAAGGAAATAAACGACTATCTGACATTTAGAAGATATCTGAAGGCAGTCCTGTTTAACGTTTGATGTTTTTATTGTGTTTTTAATATTCTGTTGGGAGCCGCCCAGAGTGGTTGGGGAAACTCAGCCAGATGGGTGAGGTATAAATTAATAAATTATTATTATTATTATTAAACAACAAGGGGCTGTTAGAAGGATGCTTTGCCAGGTACCATGTACGGTATAGGGTAAATAACCACAAGAAGGGAGAACAGGGTCTTGAAGTTGTTTGCACCTGGAAATCAGACTGAGCAGACACACAGGACACCTGGTTGCAGTTCCCCCCACTATGGTGAAATGGATTCTATTTCTATTTAAATTATAGTAATTATTTCTAAATTTGCATCCATGCATATCAATGGCAACATTCACATTTTATGCAAATCTGCACCCCCTTTTGCACTCTTCCTGGTTATGCGTTTCCTTTTTAGCGTGTGTGATACGTAAGTGAACACCCTCACCCAGCTTTCACAGACTGTGATCCTGGTCACAGTTCCAAAAGCGGGGTAATTCTGCTTCAGCCACTCTCAGCACTGGGCTAACAGCGCGGCACGAGAACAGAAACTCAATACACACGATCCCAGCCATCTGCCTTGCCGGGGACTTGTCTGTTTCAGGCTTCCAAAGGCAGCAGGGGAAATTAATCAGTGTCAGACCTGTCTGCTTCCTGGAGATGCTTAATGATGCACTGAAAAAGGGATCACTGCTGTCAGAGTGAAAGGGGATTGATGGTCCCTTGGCAAAAATAACTTGGAAAATAAAGGGATCAACCTGGGTGTCTTATCAGGCAAGTGCTCTGAGCTCAGAGATGCAGTCAAATCAGTCCCATGCTCTCACGTTCTCACTTTTTATTCCTAAACCAGGAGACTGCAAAACAGGGTGTGGAAAGCATTCCACTGCATGAGTCACAAGAATACTTAAGTGCAGTGTTTCCCAACCTTTTTTGGGCAAAGGCACACTTGTTTGATGAAAAAAATCTTGAGGCACACCACCATTACAGCCCCGTGACGTCAGCGCGCAGCGTCACGCCGGGAGGGACGCACGAAAGTGTAACTTTCAATTTTTTTCCCTCCCCCTTGCCGGGGAACCTCCAAGTGGGGTGTGAAGCGAGCGTACCTCAAGACTGAAACGCCTAATTCCTAGGGGGAAAGCATAACTGGGCGTTAACCGATCGCAAACCCTGTCCTAGCCCATTAACATAGGAAATTAACATATACAACGCGGCAAGACACCGGTTTTGGAATCCGTTCCTTCCCCCTCTCGTCTGCCGAGTTGGTCCCTGCCCCTCTCGCGAGACTCGCCGCCGGGTCCGCTCCCGCGCACATGGCCCGGTGAGAGGACGCCTCCCCTGCGCGCGCGCCTGCGCGCTCTGTGCCCCCTCCCTCCCCCTTTTCGGCCCAGCGCGCCGCCTTGCCTGTTCGTGCGCCGCGCGTGTGAGGCGAGCGGGAAGGCCGCGTAGCCCCCCATGCAGGAGACCCAGGAGAGCCCGGCGGCCGCCGAGACCCCTGCCGCTCTGCCCGCCCAGGACGAGGGGCCTGGAGGAGGAGGAGGAGAGCCCAGTGGTCGGTAGCGGAGGAGAAAGAGGCGGCGGCGGCAGCAGCAGCGGCGACTCGGAGGCCGAGCTGCCGGACGGGCCTTCTGCGGAGGAGCCTGAGGGGAAGAAGGAGCCGGAGCCCGAAAAAGGCGGCGGCGAGGAGAAGGAGGAGGCGGAGGAGGAGAAGCCGCGAAGCAGCAGCGGCGAGGAAGAGGAGGCCGCTGGTGAGCGTCGGGAGCAGCCGCAACCGTCTTCGCCGCTGGGCCGCCTTCGCCGCCTCAGGAGCCGCCCGAGGTTGCCGCTGTAGCCGCCGCCGCAGAGGAGCCGCCGGAGCGGCACACCAGGCAACATCTCGCGGCACACTAGTGTGCCGCGGAACACCGGTTGGGAAACACTGCTTAAGTGTACCAATGTTCATGAATGTTAACATACCTTCATATAGAACATACTAGAAGAAAATTTCCTCGTACACACTCAGTTGACAGGGGTGCCAACTTGAATAAAATATGGGGGGGGCAGGTAAGCCCTGCCCCACATACCGTATTTTTTGCTCTATAAGACTCACTTTTTCCTTCCTAAAAGTAAGGGGGAATGTGTGTGCATCTTATGGAGCGAATGCAGGCTGTGCAGCTATCCCAGAAGCCAGAACAGCAAGAGGGATTGCTGCTTTTGCTGCACAGCGATCCGTCTTGCTGTTCTGGCTTTTGGGATTCAGAATAATTTTTTTCTTGTTTTCCTCCTCCAAAAACTAGGTGCGTCTTGTGGTATGGTGCGTCTTATAGAGCGAAAAATACGGTAATTGATCACATAACATGGTGCATGCACAACATTTGAATGGTAATGCCCATCAACTGGGGGAGGGGCAGCTCCCTCAAATATTTTACCGGGGGGGGGGGCGCAAAGGAGTTGGCTCCCATGCCCTCTGATCAAGGCTATGTGTATTTCTCATCTTTCAAATAAAAGAAAACTCCAACTCCAAATTCTGCAGCTAGCAAAGCTAAATTCTGCAACCTGCATAAAGTATGCAAATTGGATAAATCTGCATAACTTCGTTTATTTTGTCTAATGTGCATGCCTTATAAAAAAAGCAAGTCCTATTATGTATAATCTGTTCTGGGCGGAGTAAAGAGCTATATTAGTCCTGCAGCCCCATTTGTAACTACTAGGAATTCTATTCCACTACCTCTTTTAAAAACAAAAGCAGGGGTTCTCCAGAAGCCTAATTACTTAATTCCACTTTCTGCACATTAATCCCATGCATTTCTAATTAAAAAAGAAGAAAATGTGGGTTTGTATGTCAAAACCACAGCTGGGGTCCACATATTAGTGCTGCAACTGGAGGTGATGGCGTGACTCACTGGACCAACTGCCTTCTTTGCTGTGGACCTCCAGGGGCTTGTAGGCTCCGGTGGAAATCAGCACTCCACCAGCACCTCCAATCCTTTGTGTCGGAGGATCCCAGAACTGCATCTAATGCACGTTCAAAACACTTTCCAAAAGTGTCACACAGAAGTGCTCTAAATAACTAGCACTCATTTGCCAGGAATAACTCAGCATCAGTTTAGCATTACGCTGTCAATGCCAAGTTGGAATAAGTCTGTGGCTGCAAGATAGACATGCAGGAAGTTTCTTGAGACGCCATTGCCATTTGCTGGAAATCCCCCTCTGGCCACCTCACCACTACCACTGCCCTAAATTATTCCTTTGTCCTTGACCATCAAGCCAAACCTTAGCAATTATCCTGATGTTTTGAGCTGGTCTGGCAATATCCTTGCAGTGCCAGTCCATGCTTTCTTGGTGACAAGTTTGTTCTGAAGTCAATCTTAAGAAAAGGCAGGCTTCCTCCAGGGAACCTGACCAGATATTATGCTCTGCGTTACAGGAAAAGAGGAACAGCCAACCCTGTCCTGCAAAATCTCTCACGGCACAGAAGCTTGATGGTGCAGGATTGATTGACTGATTGACTGATTGACTGATTGATTGATTGATTGATTGATTGGTTGATTGATTTTTGATGGTGATGCCAATTTACTCCTAGCTTGTGGGGTGGGGTGGGGGGCAGATAAATGCTATCTCATTAATTGTGCTGCAAGCATGTTGGCAAAGACAGGCCAACCTGCTCAGAATTGTCCATTCACATAATGGATCTCAACTGCGGAAATTTGATTTTGCACTCAATGAGTTTCAGTGCTGCTTAAGAATAGCAATGCTTTGGACATGTTTCACTTTTATTTATGTAATGAATTTATATGCTCTTTGGTTGCAAAACAAAAAACCCTCAAAACGGTTTACAAAAGATCAAACAGTAAAACTGAGAAAAAATCACAACCCTACTTTAAAACATACAAATGCTAAAACAGATTACAATTACCAGAGTTTTCTAAGCACCTGGGTAGGCTTGTTTAAGCAAGATTTTGTTGTTGTTGTTGTCGTTTAGTCATGTCCAACTCTTCGTGACCCCATGGACCAGAGCACGCCAGGCACTCCTGTCTTCCACTGCCTCCCGCAGTTTGGTCAAACTCATGCTGGTAGCTTCAAGAACACCATCCAACCATCTCGTCCTCTGTCGTCCCCTTCTTCTTGTGCCCTCCATCTTTCCCAACATCAGGGTCTTTTCCAGGGAGTCTTCTCTTCTCATGAGGTGGCCAAAGTATTGGAGCCTCAGCTTCACGATCTGTCCTTCCAGTGATCACTCAGGGCTGATTTCCTTCAGAATGGATAGGTTTGATCTTCTTGCAGTCCATGGGACTCTCAAGAGTCTCCTCCAGCACCATAATTCAAAAGCATCAATTATTTGGCGATCAGCCTTCTTTATGGTCCAGCTCTCACTTCCATACATCACTACTGGGAAAACCATAGCTTTAACTATACGGACCTTTGTTGGCAAGGTGATGTCTCTGCTTTTTAAGATGCTGTCTAGGTTTGTCATTGCTTTTCTCCCAAGAAAAGAAAAGATTGTTTTTAGCAGATGCCAAAAAGAGTACAGTAAAGGTGCTTGATTGGCCTCAATAGGCAGGGAATTCCGAAGTGTAGGCACTGCAACACTAAGCGAGCGAGTTCTTACAAATGTGGCTTGTAAGGGTTTTATGTGGCACCTGCAGTAGCACCAATTCCACTGATCAAAGCAGAAAAGTGGGCAGATGGCAGGTAAGGTGACCTTGCAGATGTTCTTAACATGGGTCCCCACTGTGGAAGCTCATGTGCTTCAGGACGGGGTGGGGGGGAGGAGCTGTGAGGAATCAGGTGATATCAGGGAGTAGGGCTAGATGCACAGCCCTGCAGCCCAATGTGACCTCTTGAACATCTGATTAGGGCTCATCACTGGAGGCCAAGAGACACGCCCACCCCATAGCTCAGTGGTAGAGCATCAGTTTTGCATGCAGAAAGTCCCAGGTTCCATCCCCAGCCTCTCCAGTTCAGGCTGGGAAAATTGTTGTTATTTATTTATTAGATCTGTATACCACCTTTCATCAAAAGACCTCAGGGTCGCAAGATAAAAACACGAGATAAAAGCACATATAATAGTTAAGGAACGTTGTTGCCTGGCACCTAAAGATATATAATGAAGGTGCCAGGTGAACTTCCCTGGGGAGAGCATTCTACAAATGGGGAGCCACCACAAAAAGGCCTGTTCTTGTGTTGCCACCCTCCGGACCTGTCTCTGAAACCATGGATAGCTGCTGGCAGTGAGGTGTAGACTAGAGAACACTGAGCAACTTTCAAGGATCCCGTGTTTCTCTAGTCCTCATCAGAACACTGGAGAGAAACTCCCAGATGTTTTGCCTATAGCATACACAGAAGAGCACACGCTCTCTTCTTCCCTTTAACCCCCCGTGTTCTCCAGTGACTGTACAGCTTTTTACAACCACAACCGTTTTCTCCATGCCGTTTCGTTAGCTAATCCAGGATGATTCGTCAGGTCACGGGACGGAGGAAAACCTGACTCTGCAATCTTTCCGCACTGCTAATAAAACAGCCTGTAAAATAATATGCGTAATGGATATGGTTAATAAAGCGCCATGTAAGGGAGAAAAAGAAAAAGCTTTGCATTAGAAACCATGGAGAGGAGTGGAAACAAGGACATATGTTTCCTATTCTTTCATGTGATTTACACTCCACAAGCAAATGCGCGTCACTTAGGAACAAGCTGGGGCAGGTGTCGCCAATGTGGCTCCTTCCAGATGTTAAGGTAAAGGGACCCCTGACCATTAGGTCCAGTTGTGACCGACTCTGGGGTTGCGGTGCTCATCTCGCTTTATTGGCCGAGGGAGCCAGCGTACAGCTTCCGGGTCTTGTGGCCAGCATGACTAAGCCACTTCTGTCAAACCAGAGCAGTGCCCAGAAACACTGTTTACCTTCCTGCTGGAGTGGTACCTATTTATCTACTTGTACTTTGACATGCTTTTGAACTGCTAGGTTTGCAGGAGCAGGGACCGAGCAACAGGAGCTCACCCCGTCGCGGGGATTTGAACCGTAAGTCCTAGGCTCTGCGGTTTAACCCACAGCGCCACCCGCGTTCCAGATGTTGCTGGACTCCAAATCTCATCATCCCTGACCATTGACGGTTACTGGCTGGTGGGAGCCCCAAAATATCTGGAGGGCGCCATGTTGGCTACCACTGATCTAGGGCCACAGAGGACTTGGCACAGGAAAACTGGCTATCGAGACTGTTCTACACCTCCAGCATGTTACTGTTATCATAATATTTAATTTGCAAGCTAATCTATCAAGAAGTCATTCCAATCGCCCATAGCCTGCCCTTGGAGTAATCAGGATCTCTTTGGTGGTTACCCAGGAAAACTCTTTTTAAATGAAATTAGCATGACTTAATAGAAAAGGAAAATCCAGGGCATTAAATTTTAATTACCACTGTTGTCTCAACTATGTTCAAACAAAAGAACAGCTTGTCCCTGCAGCCCCCGTTGGATTTTGCATAATCTCCACAATGTTCCTTCTCCTGTTTATTTTGCGCACACAATATATTATTGTAGAAAGCAGATCTATATGTGAGGAAGATTGCCAGGAAGGTCTGCGGGGGGGGGGAGGGGGAGGTGGACGCGGGGGGGGGAGAATTGGACATCGCCGCTCTCAAGCTTGTAGGATGAAACTCAGCTGAAAACGGCGTCTCCTGCTTTGCCGGCATGAAGGTCGGGTTCCGCCATTCAAACCACACGGGGCATTATTCCGGCTCAAAATACCCCTATGCATCACTGACATTAACGGGGAGACAATGAGAAAAATGTGCTGCTGGATCCAACCAAAGGTGCATTTAGTGGTCTTAAAATGATATTGAACTGCATCTCTCACCAGCCCCTGCCAGTGTAGCCGTTGATCAGGATTTGGGTAGCTCAGTTGGTTAGGGTTTGGCACTGGTAACACCAAGGTTGCAGGTTCGATCCCCATATGCGACAGCTGCATGTTCCTACATTGCAAGGGGGGCTGGGATAGATGATCCTCAGGGTCCCTTCCAACTCTACAATTCCATGGTTCTGTGATCTAGTTCAGTACCCTGCTCCCACAGTGGTTGGGGAAAAGCTGCCCTAAATAATACTAGTAGCAGCAGCCATGGTAACAAGGTAAAAGTAAAGGGACCCCTGACCATTAGGTCCAGTCCTAACCGACTCTGGGGTTGCGGCGCTCATCTCGCTCTATAGGCCGAGGGAGCCGGCGTACAGCTTCCAGGTCATGTGGCTTCCGGGTCACTAAGCCGCCTCTGGAGAACCAGAGCAGCGCACGAAAACGCCATTTACCTTCCCACTGGAGCGGTACCTATTTATCTACTTGCACTTTGACGTGCTTTTGAACTGCTAGGTTTGCAGGAGCCGGGACAGAGCAACTGGAGCTTACCCCGTCGCGGGGATTCGAACCGCCGACCTTCTGATCGGCAAGTCCTAGGCTCTGTGGTTTAACCCACAGCGCCACCCGCGTCCCTATAATGGTAACAAATAAGTAGCATATTACAGTAACATGTAGAACAAATGTGCAGACTGGGTATTGCAACGCAGCTAGGTATTTGCGAGTGGATGTAGCTATGACACACCTTTGTCCATTCTTTCTCCAGCCATTCACTGACTGGACGTGGAATTTAGTACGGCTCACTCTTTCCTTTTCCCACAGGTGTAGTCTCTCTCTTTGGAAACTCTCTCCTGCTGCTGGTAGCTTATCGGAAGAGAGCCGTCCTGAAACCTGCCGAATTCTTCATCGTGAACCTTGCCATCAGTGATGTGGGCATGACCGCAACCCTCTTCCCTCTGGCCACGCCATCCTTCTTTGCACACAGGTAGCTTGCTTTGCTCATTTGCTCATGTTGTTGCATCCTTGGGTTCCACTCTTCCATTTCGAAAGTAAAACCAAATTTCTAATCCTTGTGGGTAAAACTGCATGGACGATACATGGCTCGTGTCAGAAGACTGGGGGTGGCGTTCTTCTGCCTTGCCACTATAGCTCATTCCTGCTCTCCCTGCCCAGCAGAAACAGATTGCTGGCAGGATCAACAATCCTAACCAAGTCTACTCAGAAGTAGGCCCTACTGAATTTGAGATGAATTACTCTCAGATAACCGGGGTTCGAACTGAAGCCTAAATCACGCAAAAGCTGTTCTGTTTGCATAATTTGTGTGCAAATTTGCAAATTTGCAATCATTGATTCTATGTTTTCGAAATTACAAGAAAAGAACAAGTGACTGTATGCTGAATACTGATTTTACACAGGTTGTGGAATTCAACTTTTCCTGTTGCGGGATGGCTGGATGGGTATCTCATGGAGCACACGCAGTTCTGTGATTAGGATGCTTTTTTATCATTGTTATTGGCCGCTGTGCAAAGTCCTGCTTGGACCAGTGATGCTCAAGCATCTCTTTCTGTGACTGGGTTGCCTGGGACACAAGGCCTTGTGGGAAAATCATTTATTTCCCCTAGTTATCTCTCCCTTCCAGGTGGCTGTTCAACCATGCTATGTGCACTTTCTATGCCTTTTGTGGAGTTCTCTTTGGCCTGTGCAGTCTTACCAGCCTGACAGCCCTGAGTACCGTTTGCTGTATGAAAGTCTGTTATCCGGCGTATGGTAGGTGCTGGGGTACACAACGTAAACATCCTCCCTCTTGCTAAGCATCTCTGTCTCTCTTCTGTTCCTCTCTCTCCTCTCCTCCCTCCCCACCCCAGGGCTTGGCAACTCTTTCACAGGGTTAGGAAAGTCGTGAATCTCTTAGCAACATCCCTCCTAGGAGAACTGTCCATTAGGGAGCCTATTCATCAAAGGTTTGAAATTGCAGTAATTAGCACAAAAAAATAATACAGCAGCTACCCATTTTCCCCTTTTCATTTGCATATGTAGATTAATCACCAGCCTGTCTGCTATTTTGTGTCCAACTTCTAAGTCCTAAGATATATGATTGTGGAGGGAGACAACTTATTTTTCACCGCTGTCAGTCATGGGGGCATATTATTATTTGTCTCCTTCCTGCACTCAGACAATTCAGAACCTTTTGGTACATCAGTAAAGGAGGACATAAATGCTTGCGATGGTGAAAGAGGCAAATAAAAATTGCTCACGCAAATTAGCATTTTGATGACAGAATCGCATAATCTGAAAGCATAAAGCAGGGTTGGCTAATCCTTTTCAGCCCAAGAGGGGCATTCAAGGTTGAATGGGTAGAAAGAGTCTCCCATGGTGAGGGACTTCGAGAAGAAGTAGGCTCTCAGGTGGCCGCTGGGAGGGTCTACTTCTCTCTGTGTGGATAAATGATAGCATATACATAATATAAATATGGTAAAGGGCCTTATAGTTATCTTCTTTCTCTCATTTTTGGGGTTGTTTTTTTCTTTTTATTCATCTTGTTCTGTAGACTGGGGTGGAATCTACACACATATAAAAAAAGTTCTGAAAATGCTTTTTTAAAAGCATATTTAAAAATAGATTGAATTTTCCATAAGGCTCCCCATCGCCATCTAGTGTCACATTGTATATTGTGCTTAAAACACACTTAAAATGTTTTAATTGCAGCTGTATGCAATTGGTGTTTGTAGCAAAGGTGGCCTTCGAACATGTATAACACTCAATGCAAATCCATACACACCCCGACAGCACATGCAGAAACACAACTCTCTCTCTTTCTCTCTTAATTAAATTTGTCTACCGTCCTCTTAGATCTCAGGACAGTTCACAACATAAAATTACTATCTTTCTTCTTCTTCTTTGGCGATCACATGTAGCCGAGTAAGATTGTCTTCCATTAACACGGTTTTAACAGTGAGTCTGTAAGTGACTGTGGAGGCCAATTCTGGATCCACATGTCCTTCCACAGTGGGGACATTGGTTTCTGGGCGGGAGCTGATCACGGTGTGGATTTGCCAAGCATGCCTTCCTCCTAGCACGTTTCTCCCTTGTGTCCTGAGTTCGAGTGTCTTCAAAGCCCATGACATCTTTGGTAAAGGCTGTTCTCCAACTGGAGCGCACACAGGCCAGTGTTTCCCAGTTGTCAGTGTTTATACAGTGGTACCTCGGGTTAAGTACTTAATTCATTCCGGAGGTCTTTTTTTAACCTGAAACTGTTCTTAACCTGAAGCACCACTAATAGGGCCTCCCGCTGCCGCCGCACCACTGGAGCATGATTTCTGTTCTCATCCTGAAGCAAAGTTCTTAACCCGAGGTACTATTTCTGGGTTAGCGGAGTCTGTAACCTGAAGCGTATGTAACCCGAGGTAACACTGTACTACATTTTTTTAGATTTGCCTTGAGGTAGTCTTTAAACCTCTTTTCTTGACCACCTGCATTACACTTCCCATTTTTAAGTTCGGAATAGAGTAGTTGCTTTGGAAGGCGATCATCAGGCATCCGCATAATAACATGACCAGTACACATACACACACATACACAGAATACATAATAAAAACAAAAACAAAGACAATCCAATAACCCCCCAGTTCCACAACACATTTTAAAAGGGGATCAGATGTCAATCAGCCCAAGGTCTGGTTAAAGAGAAACATATTTGTCTAGCACCTAAAGATGCATAGTGAAGGCACCAGGCAAGCTCCCCTGGGGAGAGCATTCCACAAACAGGAAGCCACTGCAGAAAAGACCGGTTCCTGTGTTGCCACCCTCTGGAGGAGGATACACAAAGAAGGGCTTCAGATGATGGTCTCAGGGTCCAAGTGGGCTCATATGTAGAGAGGCAGTCCTTGAGGTTTTGCGGTCCTGAGCTGTTTAAGGCTTTATAGGTCAAAACCCAAACATGGGCCTGGAAACTAAATAGTAGCAAGTGCCGGTGGGACTGGATCAGTGTAATATGCTCAGCTGAACCAGATAGTACATAAATGCTGCTATGGCCTAACTAGGGATGGGAGAAGAATTAGATTCAGTTCTTGTTTAAAGGTGAACTTGATGTAATCCACACTTTGCAAGACAGTACAAGAACCAAGATACAGTCGCTCTTTGAAATTTGCACTTCTCCAAATTTTCTAGTGCAGTTCTCCAGCCAAGTAATGTGTGCAGAAATGTGTATACTAGCATAAAGTGTGCATATAAATGCCTGTATTGGTGAAATCAGCATGCGGATATGCATTATATGGGGGGAAACTACTTGCAGAAATGTGTAAAATAATAAGGGAAATTGACAGGTCCATCCATCCGTAAACCCAGCCAAGAAGTGCATTTTCTCTCTCAGGAAGCAAAAGAAAAAAGAAAAAGCTTCCTTTTGGGCAGTGTGGGGTTATTATAGCCCATAGCCCGGCTTCCCTCAACCTGGAGCTCACCAAATTTTTTTGGACTACATGTCCCATCATCCCTTGCCATTGGCCCTATTGGTCTGGGGTTCTTGGGAGTTGTAGTCCAAAACATCTGGAGGGCACCAGGCTGGGTAAGACTGCCTTGCTTTTTATTCATTTACAGTGGTACCTTAGTTTATGAACTTAATCCATTACAGAAGTCGGTTCTTAAACCAAGGTGTGCTTTCCCATAGCAGTGGGGGACTCAATTTACAAATGGAACACACTCAACAGGAAGCAAAACATGTTCTTATTCCAAGGCAAAGTTCAGAAACCAAAACACCTACTTCCGGGTTTGCAGTGTTCTTAAACCAAGGTACCACTGTATTTGTTGGCAGCATCTGTGTGCCACCATGTAAGCTTTGGGTACCGAACAACAAACAAAATATATAATGTACCGTATTTTTCGCTCTATAGGGCGCACCGGATCATAGGGCCACCTAGTTTTTAGGGGGGGAAATAAAGAAAAACAATTTTTCCCCCCAGCCCCAAAGAGCAAAGAAGCCAAGACAGCCAGTGGGATCCATCCCGCTGGCTGTCTTGGCTTCCTCTTTAGCCATGCACAACCTCTCCAGCCGGGAGAGGCTGCGCACAGCTTTGTTTTTAGCCGCGGGGCTTCCCCCGACCCCAGCCCCCAGAACAGATCTGGGAGCGGAGGCAAGGTTGCACAGCCTTGCCACCGCTCCCGGAGCTTGCGGGCTGGGGGAGCGCTCCGAAGGTTTGCGGATAGCTGCCTGAAGCCCGGGGAGCACAGTGGGAGTTGGCACTGTGCTCCCCGGGCTTCAGGCTGCAGGCTGCTATCCGCAAGTGTTTGGAGCCCGGCGGGAACTCCCGCCGTTCTCCGAAGGCTTGAGGATAGCTTCCTGAAGCCTGGAGAGCGAGAGGGGTCGGTGCGCACCGACCCCTCTTGCTCTCCAGGCTTCAGCGAAAGCCTACATTCGCTCTATAGGACGCACACACATTTCCCCTTCATTTTTGGAGGGGGAAAAGTGCGTCCTATAGAGTGAAAAATACGGTAAATATAAATCAGGCCTTTTCTTAGCTCTGTTTCATCTGAAAACCAGTAAAATGTGTGTGTGTGTGTGTGTGTGTGTGTGTGTGTATGGCTGTAGGACATTTGTTGTCGTGCCACTCCATGCGCACTTTGTGTGAACGAAATTTAGCACGACCTGCTTGTATTTCAGTCAAAAACTCAGAGTTTGGTAATTCAACAGGTACTGCAGTGTGAAAGGAACATTAGAAAACTGCAGAGATGCAGTAGCCTCATAATCAGGAAAACTAATGCAATGTTCTCTACGTCTGAATGCACCCCATGAAAGCAGAATAAATCCACCGCTAATGCACTGTTATTATTTTGTCACGAGCACACGGCAGAATGCGCCGTCAACATCACATCAGTCTGAAGGGGCCCAGAGATTGCAGCGCAAGGGATCAATAGCAGCACCTTCTTTCTCCTCCCAACTCCTCCAGCTCCTACAAACATGTGGCCTGTTTCCTCTTCCAACCCAGATTCTCCCCAAAAAGTTGAAATCCAGCCACATCCAAGATGCTATTAGAGATGCTAAATGCTTTTACCGACAGCTCTGTTCGCAGAGGAAATAGGAAGAAAAACACGTACCAATAAATAAATTTTAGAACAGGGCAAGATTTGACGTAGACACACAAACATTAAAAATAAATATATCAAGACTCCTTGCGCTCCACTCTGCTCCTCCTTCCTTCCTGCCCAGGGTGGTCCCGCCTTCTGCCTGCCCCTCATCACATGGGGCAGGGCCTTGGCAGTGGTGGCCTCTCTCCCTCCTTGCCTGCTCTCCAGCAGCCATTACAAGCTGCCCAAGGGAGGAGGCTGGCAGTGGCGGCCATGCAGAGGCAACGGGATGCGCCTTTGCAGCCACCGCTGTCGTCCTCCTTCCCCAGCTCCACAGTGGGGACACTGGCAGAGGAAATAAGGACCTTCTGGGATCAAATCAGAACCTGGTGTGGCTTTCGTAAGTCCGGGACTGTCCCTTGAAAATCGGGACACTTGGAGGGTATGCCATTTATAGATTCCCCACCTCCCCACTATACATTGAAGCACATGGGCTTTGTGTGCAGCCAACACGGAGCTCAAGGGACATCTCTTCTTAGTTAGACAGATTACTGGAGAAGGTGGAAGAAAGATAAAGGCTACCTTTAGCTACTAAGCTTCAGCCAACAAGCAGCTCTGCCTCCCCTCTGCGATTACGGCTTCTGTTTTCCCAAGGACTATGGAACACAGTTCCACCGCCTGACAATCTTATCTTTCCTCTAATGCACTAC